CAAATTGATTGAATTGAGTTCTATTGTTGTTGTGTATTTACTTTGGGACTACGGAACGGTATTCCGGGAGATCCCCCTGCACTTTATTTTGGGACTACGGGACGGTATCCCGGGAGCTCCCCTGTATGTTTACTTTGGGAGTACGGAATAGCATTCTGGGAGATCCCCCTGCACTTTATGTGTTGGACTACGGGACTGCACCCGGGATATCCACTGGACATGATATTTATATTTGGGATTACAGGACGGTATCCTGGGAGATCCCCGGTTGTTATCTCGGATTTGAGTTATGTTCTTTTACTGTGTTTTGTTTGCCGTTGTAATAGTTGTTGTTGCCCTTATATCATGTGTTATTTAATTACACTGTCATTTCACATTGTTAACCTGTATTATTACTTAACCTCAGTAGGGCCCTGACCTTCCTCGTCACTACCCAACCGAGGTTAGGCTTGGCACTTACTGAGTACCGTTGTGGTGTACTCATGCCCCTTCTGCGCATATTTTTCATGTGCAGATCCAGGTACCTCCACCCAGGCGTATCATCCTCGAGGCGGAGAGATCTAGCAGAGACTTCGAGGTACATCTACCGCGTCCGTAGACCAAGGAGTCTCTATCTTATTCTAGCTTTAGCGGATATCCTTCCTTTCTTACTGTTGTTTTAGACATTCTGGAGTTAGAGCAGTGTACTCATTCTGTTAGCTTGTGTTCCCGTGAGTTTCTGGGTTTTGGGATTATATTGTAGACTTCTGTGTTATGGAATTGTATATGCCAAGTGGCATCTATACACCGTAATTTCTTTTAACTGTTCAAAGTTGAATGATTATTTTCCGCAAGTTATTTTGTTTTCCGCATTTTAGGCTTACCTAGTTGTAGAGACTAGGCGCCATCACAACATGTTCACGGTGGATGAACTGGGGTCGTGACATATATCTTGGGGACCTGGGCTTGAGGTCACAACAATGTCTAAGTACGTTGTGAATGGTTATAAGTTTCATACAGAGGATTGCTCTAAAAATAAAAATAGCAACAACAGTGGGGTGTGGGTTCAAGGTGGTGATGGCAACCAAGATGGAGATATTGGTTATTATGGTGTGCTCAAAGAAATAATAGAACTAGAATATACAAGTTGGCCATTTAAGAAATTGATACTCTTTAGATGCAAGTGGTTTGACCCACATCCAACAAGAGGTACAAGAGTACACAATCAATACAACATAATTGAGGTTAATCATACGAGGGAGTATGATCGCTATGATCCTTTTACAATTGCACATAATGTTAGGCAAGTGTATTATGGTCCTTATCCATTGCGGCGGAATAAGTCCGATTGGTGGGTTGTAATAAAAACTAAGCTTGTGGGTAGGGTGGAAGTCGAGAATGTGTTAGATGTTGCATATCAAAACGATATCTCTAGTGTTCACCAAATAGTGGACGAAGTTTTAGAAAATGATTTGGAACATCCTGAACACATATTGGAAGAAGTTGATATAAATGAAGTAAGAATTATAGAAAACGAGGAAGAAGAATCAACTGATGAAGCTCAAACTAGTGAGGAAGAAGAATTCTCGGACGAGGAACAATACGTCGATGAGCTTTAAAAAGTTGGTGTCATTAATAACTCTCGTTTATAGCTAGTTTTTTTATATTTTTCAATCTAAAATGTATTATATTATGCAGATGACAGGCAAGGGTCGAGGTAACAATGACCCTACTGGTTCTCGGGGTCGAGAAAAGGCTAGGAAACCAAAGAGGAGGGTAGAAGATAATACTCAATCTTTTCCTCCCTCTTCAGAGATGCCTATGCCTATGCCTATGTCTTTGCCTCCACCCCAGGGCTATTCTGAGCTGCCACAGCATCACGAGCCCTACACCTTCGTGCAGACACCAGGTCTTTCGTCACAGGGCCATAGGACTATACGTCCGACATACAGTCCACCTGTCTCACGACCACGTGGATCGCACCCATCTGCATCGCATGGATCGCATCGATCCATGTCACATCCACATGGATCACAACCATCAGTGTCACATCTACTCGGGTCACAGCAATCAGTATCATAGCCACTTGCGGTCCATCCAGCTATGTCGCAGTCACAGGGATCGCAACCATCTTCATTAGGGACTCCATCTATTTCAGGCCTTCGCCTGCGAGATACTAGCTCTGACCCCCCTACACCTTCCACACATGCCTCTGATATACATGCTTCGGACGGTGATGCTGATGATGACGAGGAGGTGCATTATGATCAATATGGCAGGATCATCATAGTCCCTGAGGGTGATGGGTAAGAGTTATTTGTTATTTTTACGTTTATTGTTTGGTACTGTTTTTACTAAGATATTAATGTATTTTTTTTTATTAAATTGCAGGTTCATCCCTAGTAATATTAATACGAGGATAATCACCAAAGCCACCAGAAAGCTTTATGATGGCCCTTATGCGACTTGGAGTGAATTCCCATTCTCGTTGAAGGAGCAAATTTTCAATCAATTTAAGGTATAAATTTCTTTTAAGCAGTATAATTATTTATATTTATGATATTTCCATATAATACTTAACTTTTGAAATACAGAGCAAGTGTGTATGGGAACACCGCTATAGCGCGAAAGTGGCTGCAAACTTTCATCTCAAAGCTCGCAAGCTGTTGTCGCATTGTTTCTCCAAAGCTAGAAAGTTGAACCAGAACCCTGACTGGTTGCTTCAGAATTTATGGGAGGATTTGCAAAGGCAATGGCTTACCGCGAAGTTCTTAGAGAATAGCGAAAAAGGAAAGAAAGCTCGCGCATCTGAGAAGGGAGGATCCTTGCACACTGGAGGTGCGATCAGCCTAGGGACAATAAAAAGAAGAATGGTATGTAATTGTTTAATTTATTTTAATTTTCAAAGTATATCTATTCTATTTATTAACTAAAATTTATGAGTTTTCAGGAAAAGAAGTTGGGGCGTCCGATGAACCAAGATGAGCTAATCAAGGAGACTCATTTTGTAAAGAAGAAGAAAGAGACGGATCAAGAAAGGTGGGTCGAGGGCCGAGCCTCGACTGTACATGTAAGTTTTCACTTTTCATCAAGTATTTTGATTTACTTTTATATAAATTTTGAAATACTAATTCAATGTAATTTTTCTTATAGGGTCACTTCACAGTTGAACTGCAGGAATTCATACGCAGTCAGCCACCTAATGAGTCGGGAGAGCCAATCCAACCTTCGGACGAGGATGCTGAAAGAATGTGGACGCAGGCTGCTGGCGGTCCAAAATGGGGGAAGGTATATGGGCTTCCTACTAAGAAATTCCATCGCTATAAGTGTGGAATGCAAGGAACAGGGACTTCCTCGCAAGCCGAGCTACTTGATGGGGATAGCCTCTCCGCTATGCGGGAGACTGTGACAAAGCTCACATCCGAGCTGGAAGCGGCCAAGGAAAGAGAAAAGCTTAGAGATGCTCAGTTCACTGGCATGCAAGAGCAGATCAAATCTCTCCTAGCTTCTGGCTCTTTTCGATTCCTCGGTCTTCATGCCAGAGGCTCGCCTTCCCCGTGCTCATTCCTCTCGCCATCCAAGTGCTCGTTCCTCCCGTCCTCCCGTTATCGTTCTTCTCGTCCTCGACAAGTACACCCTTATGGATACCGTCTTGGTGATGAACGTTCATCAGAAGATGATGATAATGATGTACAAAACAATCCTTGACTTTTATACACTTTGAACTAGACAAATACAATCGGTTTTCGAATGGGCTTGTAATAACAGTTAACTTAGTTTGCTTAGCTTAATGTGTTAGTTCTATTGAATTTTATGCTTTGTTGTTGTTAATGTTGTTGTTGTTGTTATTGTTGTTTATTGTTGTTATTGTTGTTGTTGTTTATTGTTGTTGTTGTTGGCATAAAATGCATGTTTAGGAATTTCGGTATGCTGGCAGGTGGTGTACCTGCCAAAACAAGCAGTTTCTGCTAAAATTATACCAAGAAAAGCGATCAACTTTGGTCGCTTTTCTCTTTAAAAAAATAATTTTCTGGGCAATAGCGACCAAGGTTGGTCACTAATTAACCCAGATTTCTCAAAAAGCGACCAACTTTGGTCGCCAGCCTACGAAAAAAATATATTTTCTGGAGAATAGCGACCAACTTTGGTCGCTTATTTATAAAAAATAATTAAATTCTTAAAATTAGCGACCAATGTTGGTCGCTTGAGGTTAAAAAAAATTAAAAAAATAAAACAATAGCGACCAACTTTGGTCTCCATTTTCCAGATTTTAAAATATAATATTTTCTTTGCAGACCAAAGTTGGTCGCTTTATATTGATTAATAATAAATAAATAAAAATGTAATTATAGATTAGAGACCAACTTTGGTCGCTAAATTTATATTATTAAAATAATAAAGCGACAAAAGTTGGTCGGTATATTGTTTATCCGGAATATTTGATCCTTTTACCTTAGAGACTAAAGTTGGTCGCTAATTAGCGACCAACATTGGTCCCTAAGGTAAAGGGACCAACATAATATCGGCCACGCCTGTTTGGTCGCTTTTTGGTCGCTTTTGGACCTGTAAGCGACCAACTTTGGTCGCTTTTTGTTGTCGCTTTTTTCCGGATTTCTAGTAGTGAAATAGTGACACTGCTTGTGAAAAATCCTGCATACGCCACTGCATTGTAAGATAATAGCATACATTTCTTTTATTATAAAACATGCAAAATGTCAACCAACTTGACCATGGATTAAGCGACCACCAACGTATACTAAAAATATGATTCCATGCATGAGACATGATCAAAGGAATATGGCATTCCCTTTTCCCTCTTTTGGGCGGAGGAGTGGGTATTTTCTTTTGGCCACCTATAGTTTGAGATGTATAAAGAAAGAAAAGGAGAGCAATTGAGTAGAAAGCAAGCAAAATAAAAGTCGAACTTTGGGGGTCTTTTTTGGGATGTCAAGGCAAGCATCTATGCCTTATTAGTTTTGGCAATTATATTGGCATATAAACATACCCTGACACGCACAACTACATGCTACTTATAAACTACAAATATTTGAAGAAACATTACATTGGAGTTATGATCGCTTTACACTTTTTTCCTATCGTGTTTGCATTTCTTCAATCACACATCTATCCGAGGCAATCAAAGAATCTAATCTTCCAGAAATTGAGGTATTATATATTAGTCAGTACCACTTTAAAACTTCTTGCTTCTTGCTCTTGCTGCTCTTGCTGTTTGCGCCACTACTAAATAAATAGTGAAACCAGCTCAATATTAGCACAAGAGTCATTACCAGCTATATATAACTCTCTTAAAATCTTTGTAATATCTATTTTCCAGGAGAGAGAGATAAGACATCCGGACATTCGTACGACATCACCAATAATAGAGGAGGAGATCATGAAAACTCCATCTCATCATCACTCAATGCTATACGTGTTAAGCCTTCTTCTGTGTTTTGCAGCTTTCTTCATTGTAAATACTGGTATGCGCATTCCACTCATTACCTACAAAATCCTTTATGATATTGTAATGGCCTTAGGTATCTGCTTTCTTCAAAATCAGGTTATCTTGTCACCTTATTTCAGTAACTTTCAACTTCAAAATGACAATGCTCATTTCCTGGTAAAAGTTTAACAACGCCATATTCTCGAATTTGAAAAGAAGCATATATTTTGCTTTTGCCTAATGTCTGTATACTGTATAGTGGGGGGAAAAGTCCACATTTGGTGTGTATATAAATCTAATTATGAATACAAGATGAGTGTCGTTTGATTGCACTTTATCATGCATTTAACCATACTGTATACGAATTCATATTATATGTACTAATAATGCGCAATATTTTAACACAATTAATGAATTTTAATCCGTCATAACAAGTTAGGTATCTCTCTTTTTACCTAACTACCAATTAATGTTCTTCTTTTAATCAACTTATATAACCTGATTGTGTAAATATTTTGTTAGTGCATAAATTTAAAATTATATTATTATTCTCATGTCAATTATAAGAGTTGACATTGTAAATTAATATTATTTGGTGTAGGCGGCATGTTTTGATAAACGTCCTCCATATCTATGATATAGGACAAGTAGTAATTCTGACGTTATTAGGTTACTAGCCTATAACTAGAAGTACGTACTTACTGTATTATTTGTTTTTATGTGAATGCAGATGCTAGAAAATTAAGTTCAGAGGACATTAGTGAATCATCAGAAATCAATGGCTTGAGGCGCTTCGACGTGTATTTACCTTCAGAGGATTCGTCCAATTCAGGACCATATGGTGTCAGTTCTCCCTTCAATTTGCCACCTTATGATTCTCTTCCTCCAGTTCCAGATACCCCTCCTTTCTGTCTTAATCCACCTTCACCTTTCACTCTTCAACCTCCACCCAGTGGCAGTTCTAGTAGTGGAGGAGGCCCAATTGTAAATCTACCTCCAACCCCATCATCCACTATCATCCCTACCCCACCCCAACAATATCTTCCTCCTATAATCATTCCCAACCCACCCCAATATTATGAACCTAGTCCTCCCACAACAACTGTTCCAACCCCAACAGGACCCATTTTCAGCCCACCTTATTATTACGAGCCCAGTCCACCAAGTTATTATGATCCAATTAGCCCACCCACTGGGCTTTTTCTTCCACCAGTGATTTATCCACCTCCGGCGGTGCCTCCACCGCCGCACATAGCGCCGACCACGGCTCTATGGTGTGTGGCAAAGCCGTCAGTGCCAGACCCAATCATTCAAGAAGCCATGAATTATGCATGTTCATCTGGAGCAGACTGTGACCAGATTAATCCCAGTGGATCATGCTTTCAGCCCAATACTTTATTTGCACACGCCTCTTATGCCTTCAATAGTTACTGGCAGAGAACTAAGGTGGCTGGTGGCACTTGTGAATTTGGTGGCACGGCCATGCTTGTCACTGTCGATCCTAGTGAGTTCCTACGAAATTATTGCAACATTAAAGTAATTGAATTTTACTAAGTCATAATAAAGCTATTCTTTTGTCAACGGAAGAAGTAGTTGTGTGACTTCTTGTTATTGTGGATAAAGTTCAATGAAATTAATCTCAATTGGTAATAATAAAATAACAACCATTTTGCCAGACTCCTAATTGTTTTCATTTTCTTCCTTGGAACAGGTTATGATGGATGCCAATTCAACTTTAACTGAATGGATGATTTGATTTTTTGTTGTTTCATACTACGAGGAGTTCAAGAAAAGGAGATCACACCCATCCGAAATTTTGTAATTTTGAACACGATTTTCAGGTGGATGCATGCCAGAGTGTGGATTACGTACTCCAATTATATTCCGTCTAGGATTAGAAACAACACGTCTTTCCTTGACGTATACCTCTCTCTTCTTATAGTAATTTGAAATTGAAAATGGAAATGTAATTGCAAATATCATTAATGGGATTTAACATTATCTTGATTTTTGTAATAGTACTACTAATAAATTAAAAATATAGCATCTTCTTTTTAACTTACGCACTTGCGTCCTATCAAAAGTTAACATATTATTTCCAGACCAATGAAAGAAATGTAAAATCGATGTTATAGTCGTTCATTGCGAATTTTGTTTTGTTTCTCTAGCACGTGCTTGGATATCTTTTATTTCTTCCTCTGTTTCTTTATAGCATGCACGTCCGCGTTGAATTCAGTGCTATAGCCTCTTTATGCATGCACGTCCCCTTTCTTTTTCTCTCTTTTGTCTCGTACATAGGGTTGAACTAAGCCCACATACGGCACTTGACAACTCGAATGCTCACGTTCTTGCGCAACTTACTTACGATCTTACTATGCAAAGTCAGCCTAAATACTATACTCAAGATTGCTAAGGGTGTTAGATAAGAAAGACAACGGAATTTTGCCAAAGAAGCTTTTTGTATCGTAGAGAACTTATTGTTTTGCTTGGTGAGTTACAAATGAATGGCCCCCTTTATATACTAATCTCCAAGGGGCTCGTATGTAAATATTAATTGTTGCACAAGTCCTAATATTTACAAGATAAAGGCTTTCTCTAGAGTTCTCTACAAGGTTAGAAGATTCAAAGGACTTTCCTTGCAAATCCATAAGGATCTATGGTCTTCCAAGGAAAATGTCCATATTTCTCTAGAATATTCCCACAAGTGCTAGCCTTCTGATCTCGCCCAAACTCACACTACAATTATAGGTAGTGAGGCGGTCGAAGCAATAATAAAACCCAACGCGAGTCGGGGTCGAATCCTCAGGGAGTTAGAAATGGGTTTAGGTATTATACACCTAGTGTAATTGTATAAAGTGCCTCAATTTGCACTTCCAAATTCTTGTTGGTTGTTTCTATTTCTACTTTAATCTATTGATTGCAATTAATAAACTAGAAGACAATATTTTTGATTTTGGTTGATTTTCAAATGATAAAGGATCTAGGGTCGTGACCTCCACCTAGGTGGTTACCTAACGGGTTGTAAACTCTAGGGAAAATTTGATTAGTCGGGGTCGTAATATAGTAATCACACGCAATTACCTACTCTATCCCTCTCGGTAGTTGAGTGATTTTGCCCAATTTGGCTTTTTCAAGTCCAAATGGGTATTGCACAAATCAAGTGATATTTGCTCAAGTCGGATCTTACTATCTCTAGATTTGACCCTTTAATTGGGGCTATCAATTTCTTGAGTTCACCCCAATTCCTTGTTAGCCAAGTTTCCTAGACGTAGTCTCTCTTTCTCAAGTAGAGACTAAGTCAAATAGGCATGAATCAGTGTTTGCAACCATTAATTCTAGAATTCAAGCATGAACAAGGCTAAATATCACTAACCCAATCACAAACAAGCCCTAAATTAAATACCCATTGAGTACCCACACTAGGGTTGAGCCACAACCCTAGCTAAAGATTTTGCTACTCATGAAAACTAATGAAATACAAGAAGAAATTAAGATAGAATGCTTAATAATTGATTAGACAAAGAAAATCTAATGTTTAGAAGTTAATCTAGTACAAAATTACTCAAAATAGTAAAGAAAACGGCTTAGGTGCACTTCTGAAAGCTAAAATTGACCTAAAAATGATAAAAAGTTCTATTTATACTAAGCTAAAAATATCTAACAAAAATTCCCCTGCGAAGGTTGTACGGCCGCATAATTCTGGTGCTGTCCACACAATGAGCTTCTGCGGCTTCACAATTATCCTGCGGTGCGCATTCTTTTGAACTTGGGCTTGGAACTTCGGGGTTTCTGCGGTCCGCATAAAAATGGGTGCGGCCGCACTTCTGATTATGCGGCCGCACAAAAATAATATGGTCCGCACTCCCTGCTTTTGGACTTGAAACAGCTCTCTGATTCTTCAATCCTGCGGACCGCATAATAATGAATGCGGCCGCATAATTTTGATGCGGTCCGCATGCCTTTAGCTGGCCCAAACACTACTTTCTAAATCTCCCTTCTGCGGCTGCACTAGAATTGTGTGGTCCGCACTGCTGCCCTTTTTGCCCTGTTTTGGTTCTTGTTCACTTTTGACTCGTTTATGAATTGATTTTGACTTCTTTGGCTCGTTTCCCAATATCCCTGCAAGTAAGTACATTTCGTTAGTTTCCGGGAATACCTTTAAGCATTTTTGAGCTATAATACAAGTAAAAGAGAGCAAATAAGCGGTCAATACTTATCAACTCCCCCAAACTTAAGTTTTTGCTTGTCCTCAAGCAAATAAGGTAATTCCACATCCGCTAGAAGATGGATATTTCAGCTGGCCTAAGGTGAATCAATCACGCATCAATTGGGACTAACAATTACCCACAACACATATTAATTATCAACAACACAATGATTTGACCTTTTGAGTACAATAGTTCTAGTGTGACACTAGAGCATCAAGAGTTGACTCTATTCATCAAGGAAGCTCGCTCTTTCATGTAGGTCATTGTGGATCCCAAACTCCTCCTCCTCTACTCTCCATTAGCAAATCTCACTTTATAATGTAACACTCGAAGCAAGAATTGTGAAAAGTTCGCTCATCTCTCTCAAAAGAACGTCACATGTCCGGCTTTAAGTACCATAAGCTTTCCCCTTATGTAAATCACCACTAATGAAATCTCACTCAACTTGAAATCATGTAGGGCTTTCGCGGGATGTGATGAAGGCTTTTGGACCAAGGTAGGACTTGTTGGAATAGAATGGTTTCATCTTTCCGTAAGCACTCCATTTTCTCTTTTCAGCTCATACTTTCTTGACTCTTTGAGTCATTTTCTTCTTCCTCGGGGGAACTAGAGAGACGTAACGTCAATCTTTCTTGATCATGACATTCATTTCTCCTTTTCTATTTACTTCAGTCTTTCGTCTTTATTTTCTTTTGAATTCCCTTCAACTTTTCACTTTATTCACTTTCTTTTTGGCATTTTTCTTTTTGTTCTTTCTTTCTTTTCTTTTGCCTTCCCTTTTCTTCATTTCTTTCTCTTCTTTGTACCTTTAATCACTTCAAGCTCCTCATCTCTCCCCCAAACTTATGTTTTTGCAATTGTTCTCCAGAATGCTAAGGAAATATTGGGTGCCAAGAGAAGGTCATTACAGAACGGATAAAGGCTTGTAACGTGGTTTTTGAAAGAAAAAGGGCTTAGGCTCGAAGGGGTTGACTAGGGATATCACATTGGTAGGCTATGAAAGATTTCAAGTTTCAAATTGGATCAAGTAGAGCCTACAATCATTTATCAAGCCAAGCTACACTTAGAATTTCGCCTCGAAAAATATTCGGGGCAAGTTCTAGACCATTAGCACGGGTACTTGGACTTGTAACTAAACATCTCACCTCTCACGCTTTTGGATTGCTAAAGAGAACGGAGTCGGAAGCCAATAAAAACCCTAGCTAAGATTGAGAAACACAAATGGCTCAATTTCAACCACTCGATGACTGCTTACCTCAACACAAGAGTCAAAAGGGTCACAACTAGAGCTATTTTCTGCCAACAACTTGTTTTTAACCATACGATCATAGGTAAATGTGTTGGTACCAACTGAAGCATGCTTGAGACCCCCTTTTATTCATTACTACTATATTTTCCAAAACATAAAAGAAATGGACTCAATCCCTTAAGAAGGTTATCACGCCATCCATCGTGGGGAAGAGCCACCCGGTTCACATATAATGCACCTTTGGAAAGAACCGTGCCATTAAGAAAACCAAATGCTTATTGTTCACTCAAAACTTAAAAAGAAGCTAGCAAATTAAAAAGAAGCTACTAAAAAAATATGAAGTTATACTACTAAGGAAAAGCAAACTAAAGAAGCTATGAAATAAATTACGGAAAGCGAGATAAATGAAAATTCAAACCGAAGTCAAATGAATATATACATAAGGGAAATGAATATCTACATGAAATGGGGAGAATATATACATACCAAAGGAAAATAAAGATGTAAGAAAAATAGTATCAGAGTTATTACAGCCCAAATGTTAAATGTTAAAGTCAAATAATCAAAATAGACCACCGCCAATTGAAAATAAGCATTGTCCTCAATGCTTAACAAAAATAAGAACAGGGAAAGGGTAGAGAGTTAAGAGAACTCCCTATGTGGTCTCAGTCTACATAGGATCATCAACACCCTCGGTCTCAAGCTGTATCTCATCATCACCTGGCTGAGGGACAATAGGGTTGCTGAGCATCTGGATCATCTCCTAAGCGATGTGGGCAGTCGCAGCCGGCTCCTCAGACTGGCTGGCTGCTGCCTCTGGTGCCTCAGGTACTGCTGGTGATGCCTGTGCTGCTGGGGCTGCTAACTCCATGAGCAGGTCCAATGGTAAATCATCGGCAGATGTAATCTTCTCAATCTCTTTTCTCAACTTATCCACCGACTTCTTTGATGTCTGAGACTTCCGCATCTTCTTGACCTGTTTGCCCAAATCCTCAATGACTTTCCCTTGTGCCACCACTTTATCCATGATAGTCTTCTGGTTGGCCGTAATCTTCTTCAATGTTTCCTCAACTAACAGAGGTACCTGTGGCTTTGCTGGGGCTGAGGACTGTGCCGCAACAGCACTAGATATATCAGTCAGCATTGTGGTAGCTTCTTGCATCCAATTATTGAGACTCGCCAACGTCTAGGAGACTCGCACCGTAGTCTGAGAATAAGTAGATGAAGACGGGACTGATAATGGCACTGATAGTCTAGCAGAAGCAGGTGGTCCGGAAGATGAAGATGGTGGCATGGTTGCTATCTTGGTAGAAGTACCGGCTACTGTGGAAGGCTGGGCAGCTGAATCAGTAACCACTACCGCTGGCTCCTCAGACTGGACAGCGGAGGTAGTAGCTTTTTCCTTGAACATCGGGTTGTCATCTCCCTGGAGGTGGTACCGTGAGAAAGGCTTCTTGTCCTTTACCTCAGTGTCATAATGCCTCGGCTCCACCTTGTGATCCTTGCAGTATTCTGTGAGGAAGTTCGGGAACGGATAAGTTCTTTCACCCTT